GCAGCTGAAAAAAAGAAACTGGGAAGAAAGTGGAATGTTAGGTGCAATATTCAGAGCACTTAATTATAATTGTTACTAAATAATCAATAAAAAGACAAGAGCGAACTAAGATATTATTTATATGCTGAATAAATGGATCATGGTTTCTGGTGAGGAGAATGAGTTAGAAGGAATTTGAGCAAATGAAGAGAGGAATAACGGGAGGAAAATAATACAGAGTGAGGATGCAGAAAGTGGATGTGAGCATTGGAAGGAATATTGTAAGAGACAAGGCTGGATATTAGTAGTTCACAAGACGGCAGTTTATGTATCTGTTAATATTGAAAATATAAATTCACGAAGAACACTGAACACTGGTCTTATGAATCTGTGAGTTGGTGTTTGAGTGACTGCTAGAACATAATAGTAGTTGCTTAGTGCGAGTGTGACGGCATTTGACCACCTATCTTGAATGCACTCTGGCATGGGGTTGAATGAGTTCATAAAATCTCTCCCATGCACTTGTAGGGTAGTGGTACAGTGGTACAGCACTCAGCTTTGTGGTGTGATGGTACATTGGTACAAAACTCAGGTACAGTGGTACAACCTTGTGGTGAGATGGTACATTGGTACAGCAGACACTCGGGCGGAGGTCCTAGTCGCTGCAACGGCATTTGGAGTTTCCAATTATTTAAAATGCAGTCTATGTACTATTCAGGCTTATAATTTGATATATATATACATGTATATATATATATATATATATATATATATATATATATATATATATATATATATATATATATATATATATATATATATATATACAAACAAGCCTGAACGGTCTCCAGGCATATATGCAACTGAAAACTCACACCCCAGAAGTGACTCGAACCCATACTGCCAGAAGCAATGCATTTGATGTACAGGATCCCTTAACCACTCGACCAACACGACCAGACAAAAGATGACGGTAGCCGAGGCTACCGGTCTCAGTTGCATATGTGCCTGGAGACCGTTCAGGCTTGTTCGCATTTGTGTTCCTCACGTGTGCCCCAAAGAATGAAGTGATTTGATAAAATACCATGCCCAAGATTACCAACAGAGTGCCGACGGGGGGATGGGAATTAGCCTCGGCTACCATCCTCTTTTGTCCGGTCTCGTGGACAATGTGGAATGTCAAAGTCAAGAAATCGTGGAATGAAGGGAGCGAACCGATAGAGTTTTGATATTTTAAACGAGTGTATGATGGTATTCTGGTGAAGAAGGTGTATTATAATGAATCTGAGTGTAAGTTGAGAGGAATGGCTAGAGATGCGGGGAGTGAGGTAAACAACAAAAGGGATGGAAATGCTCAGGAAAAAGGGTGGGTGGAAGGGGTTTCTAAAGAGGAACTTAATGCATTTGTTTATATTAAAATTTAATATTTTCGAGGAGCACCGAACACTTGGTCTTATGGAGCCATGATTTACTCCTTTGGATGATAGTTTCAGTGTAATAGTTTATCTCTGATATTATATGGCTGATACATATAACAAATATTTAAATATATTTGTTACATATATAAATTTTGTCAACGATACTATTAATTTAAATTTTATCTCCAGGCTGATGATTCCCCATCCCATGAGAGTGGGAACCGTGTGTAGTGATGACCATTAAATGATTTACAAAAGTTTTCATTAATATTAAAGAGTTATGGTTGACTACACAGTTGCGACACAAGAGCTCATTATATTATATAGCACTTAAGAAAATATTAGGATCTTTAAATATAATGTAAAAATTTCTATAAAATAAATAGAACGGCATGGAAATAACGTAACTAGAAACATTATAAGAATGTTTATTTATACAAATTTATTTTCATTCACAGCTAATTCGTCTTCAGAAACAGGTCTTTACAACACAAGACAGTATTTCCTATGAAGATTTTAAACGAAAAAATGGCGAGTACATTTAAAGGGGGAGTTGACATTCAAGTTTGATCATAAAGTTAATTTGTTAAATCTATGTACTAACAGATTATGAACGCGGAGATCAACCCTTGCCAGGGTGGCGTGACTGAGCACAGTTCCTACACTGTGCACCCGACCTGTAATTGAGCACCCAGCTGTAATTGAGCACCCAGCTGTAATTGTGCACTCAGCTGTACTTGTGTACCCAGCTGTAATTGTTCACCCAGCTGTATTTGCGCACCCAACTGAAATTGTGCACCCAGCTGTAATTGAGCACCCAGCTGTAATTGTGCACTCAGCTGTACTTGTGTACCCAGCTGTAATTGTGCACCGAGCTGTAATTAGGAACCCTGCTTGTTAACCGATTGGGAAATTGTATTTTTAAGAAAAACATAGAGCTTAATAACCTAACCGATTATAGTAATTGCTGTTCTCACCCCGCCACAAATAATAATAATAATTATAATAATAATAATAATAATAATAATAATAATAATAATAATAATAATAATAATAATAATAATAATAGATGCGCGTATTAAGTACTGACAACTGTGACACAGTAGTGAAGTACAGTGTAGTATGTACTGACAACTGTGACACTCTAGTGAAGAATTATTGTGTAGGTTCTGTTAGACAAAGTTGTAGGTGTTTGTTTCCGGTATTCATCGTAAAAATTATCTTTGCATTTGGTATCGTAAACAAATCTAAAATGTTAACTATTTTATATTTATTTTCAATTTGTCAATGTTACATAATTGTCGTCTAATACCAGAGTATATTTAATTTTTGTTTTGTTTTCTATAGGATGTGGGCGGGATTGGAGGGAAGGAGGGGAGGGGGGGGGGGTAACATGGCTGCGCTAGGGACTATTACCAGTCCAACCCCCCTCACTTTCCATCAGTCTCCCACCTTTCTTCCCCAATTTCCATCCCATCTCTCATATTTCTTCCATTTTTTCCCTTCCTTTTTTTTCCTCTCCCTTCATATCACTCCTCTTTAACTTTCATCCCCTTACATACTGCACCCTCCCCTCTATCCCCTCTACTTCCTTTTCTCTCTCTCTTCTCCCTCTCCCTCCCTCTCTCTCTCTCTCTCTCTCTTCTCTCTCCTCTCTCTCTCTCTCGCTCTCTCTCCTCTCTCTCTCTCTCTCTCTCTCTCTCTCTCTCTCTCTCTCTCTCTCTCTCTCTCTCTCTCTCTCTCTCTCTCTCTCTCTCTCTCTCTCTCTCTCTCTCTCTCTCTCTCTCTCTCTCTCTCTCTCTCTCTCTCTCTCTCTCTCTCTCTCTCTCTCTTCTCTCTCTCTCTCTCTCTCTCTCTCTCTCTCTCTCTCTATCTCTCTCTCTTTCTCTCTCTCTCTCTCTCTCTCTCTCTCTCTCTCTCTCTCTCTCTCTCTCTCTCTCTCTCTCTCTCTCTCTCTCTCTCTCTCTCTCTCTCTCTCTCTCTCTCTCTCTCTCTCTCTCTCTCTCTCTCTCTCTCTCTCTCTCTCTCTCTCTCTCTCTCTCTCTCTCTCTCTCTCTCTCTCTCTCTCTCTCTCTCTCTCTCTCAGACTGGAAGTTCATTAAGCTCGTCAACAGAGATGTTCATAAGCTCGTCAACAGAGCGTAACGAGGTTTTCTTATATTATTCCATTGGTCCTGGAAGGTGTGTTGGTAAGTTTCACACAGTGGTCCTGGAAGGTGTGTTGGTAAGTTTCACACAGTGGTCCTGGAAGGTGTGTTGGTAAGTTTCACATAGTGGTCCTGGAAGGTGTGTTGGTAAGTTTCACACAGTGGTCCTGGAAGGTGTGTTGGTAAGTTTCACATAGTGGTCCTGGAAGGTGTGTTGGTAAGTTTCACACAGTGGTCCTGGAAGGTGTGTTGGTAAGTTTCACACAGTGGTCCTGGAAGGTGTGTTGGTAAGTTTCACACAGTGGTCCTGGAAGGTGTGTTGGTAAGTTTCACACAGTGGTCCTGGAAGGTGTGTTGGTAAGTTTCACACATTGGTCCTGGAAGGTGTGTTGGTAAGTTTCACACAGTGGTCCTGGAAGGTGTGTTGGTAAGTTTCACACAGTGGTCCTGGAAGGTGTGTTGATAAGTTTCACACAGTGGTCCTGGAAGGTGTGTTGGTAAGTTTCACACAGTGGTCCTTGAAGGTGTGTTGGTAATTTTCACACAGTGGTCCTGGAAGGTGTGTTGGTAAGTTTCACACAGTGGTCCTTTAAGGTGTGTTGGTAATTTTCACATAGTGGTCCTGGAAGGTGTGTTGGTAAGTTTCACATAGTGGTCCTGGAAAGTGTGTTGGTAAGTTTCACATAGTGGTCCTGGAAGGTGTGTTGGTAAGTTTCACATAGTGATCCTGGAAGGTGTGTCGGTAAGTTTCACACAGTGGTCCTGGAAGGTGTGTTGGTAAGTTTCACATAGTGGTCCTGGAAAGTGTGTTGGTAAGTTTCACATAGTGGTCCTGGAAGGTGTGTTGGTAAGTTTCACATAGTGATCCTGGAATAGGTGTTGGTAAGTTTCACACAGTGATGCTGAAAGAGGTGATAGTTGGGAATAGGTACCGAGCACATGTGCTGTGGATACTGCGTACTCATAAACTATTGCTTAAATCTTTGTATTTGTTTCAGTGGATTATCTCTGAAACAATAAAACAATCTATCAAAATATATTAATATATAAAAATTTATACTATTTATTCATTTTGTATTTTGATGTCATTTATAATGAATTTATGATGTATTTATAATTTAGAGATAATTCTTACCTCGAAAAACTAGTGTTTTTCAAATGAAAGAAAACTGCATGATTATCAGCAAAGGAAAACCCCTTGTTTCGTTTCACTCACGTCCTAGTGTAAATAGCGCGAGGTTCCTGTCATTATTAATAGTCTTCAATACTGGAAAATCTTTGAGTTGGACGATATTGATCCTTTTCTCTCCATAGTTGATACTGAGTGTAGATAATGATCAGACCTTCAATTGCCGACAGAAGTTATAATATAATTTATATTTTCTTTCAGCTTGTGACAAAAAAAAAAATTCTTTCATTTAAAGAATAAAGAAACTTATGTCAATAAAATTAAATGTTCACTTTTGATTCTTTATTCAGTAGTGGTAACGAGGACTGAGGAACATCTCCGTGGCTTCGTTGGGACTAAACGACTCAAGATGCCTACTTTCCGTATCCTGAAATAATATTTTATAAGTCACAAAATTGTTACATTTTTATCTACGATATCGTGAAGATTGTTATCAATAAACCATCAAGGAAAACATGAAGATACCTACCGCCATATCCAAGTCCACCAAGTCCACCCAGACCAAGTCCACCGAGTCCTCCACCACCGCCAAACTTATTAAATCCGCCTTTGCCAACTCCACCAATTCCACCCAGGCCAAATTGACCTTGTCCACCAAGACCAAATCCTCCATGACTTCCTGCAATAATAATAAAGAATTACAACGACGTGCTAAATACTTTTATTTGTAGGTTTAGGCAAAATACATACACCCTTCAGAGAACATGTATCGTCTGTAAGTGTTGGTGACTTACCGTGGCTCTTGCTCAGCACGAATGTGTGACCTCCCTGGCCTCCTGTGGGGGTGATGGAAAAAATATTAATAATATGATTATTAATGTACTTATACTTATAATATTGTTAAAAACATTTCTTGGTACATATTTGCAAAATATATACTAAGCTTACCGTATCCACCATTGAATCCTCCACCTTGGCCTCCATAGCCACCAAAACCACCCAAGCCTCCACCATAACCGCCGCCGCCACCGTAGCCACCATAACCACCAAGCCCTTTAAGACCACCAAGACCACCGTGACCACCATATCCACCAATCAGTCCACCGCAGCAAATACCGGCCATCACGGCCAACATCACCGTCACTGACAAGAAACGCTGGAAAAAAAAGTGTAGATATTATTTGATAAAACATTTCTAAGTTGCATAAATTCTGAAACTCAATTTTCTTTTGAAAAAAACTATTACTATTCCGTTCGTACCATGTTTGTAGGACTGGTTAGGTGGATGAGGTAGACCACTGTGATGCCTGAAGAGGATGCAGAGGGGGTTTATATAGCACAGGTGCGTCCTGCCACCCAATGTAACCTTCAGGATTTGACTTCGGGGCCACACCTACAGGTTGAGTCATTATTGTGAGGAACGAGTATAAGGTGATGAGGAATGTTAAATGGTATTTGCATTCCTTGTGCGCATTGGATAAACGTGAGGGCTATCAAGAAAAAAATATTCAGTTGTATTCATTTGTTTGCTGGGAAAATTACGTATATTTTAATTACAAACTTAAGAAACAAAAATGAGGTGATGAATTTTTTAGTTGATTTAGCTATTATTTTCTTAATTATGATGTTGCGATTTAGCTAATAGCTTTTTTATGTAATGTCCTATGATTCAATCAAAACGTAAATAATATGTGTACATGTTATGCACAGAAATACAAAATGAAAGAAGACTTTATTTGTAAATAACCTTACTCCTTTAATTTTTATCTAATTTCACTAGCCATAAAAGGTGGCACGGGGCTACATAAATGTAGTCTCTCATCCTGATCTCTCTCTACATTGTTATAACACTTTGATATGTCTTCATTATTAAAAATGCATAAAATAAATAGATGTGATGCAATAATCTCTTTACAGAAACATCGTCGTATGATTAAAAATATTAAATTAAAGAATTAATGTTAATAATTCGAGAATATCGTCGAAAGTAAAATTATTAAACAATCAATATATCAACTGGTATGAATGTGAACCTACAAAATGCTAAGCTTAGGAAGCGTAAGTGTTATTGGTTCATCTAACAAATATCGAATAATTCAAGTTACATAATTGAATTTGAATAGGCCTACCCTAAATCTTGGAATGTACTACACCTTCAAATATTATTTACTAATTATATTTACCAAATCTAATTTATATAATCCTATACTTACATAAATATTATCTAATTCACTTTTTTATATATGAAGATTCAATAATATTTATTTTACTAATTGACTTACGCTCAACACTTTTGCATGAATTAGTCCAGTCAATTGAATGATTGCAATCTCTTATGTCCAATACATTGCTTTCTTAAGAGATTGCAATCATTGAACTGACTGGATTAATTCACGCAAAATTGTTGAGTGTAAATACAGTATCCATGGTCTCATCTGTCGTAAGTCACATGGAATGATTGCCAGACATGAAGCAGTCAGTGACCAGCACAAAGGGAACCTCTGTTGTGCAGACTTGACAACAGTCACAAACGCGCAGATGGAGTCACTCTGAAGCCATGGAGGGGTGGTAGGCAGGTCGTGTGGGACTACACATGTGCGTCTATATTGGCCCATACCTATCTACCTCACAGTACAGCTGAGGGTGGCGGGGCGGGTACCTTCAGGGAGACCCAGAAAACTAATAAGTATAGGGACCTAGAGCGTTGTTACAGGTTCGTGCCAATATGCTACGTGACCCCTGGGGCGACTGGGGTAAATGTACACTTACATTCTTATAGGAGGTAGGTGAGGAACTCATTGGGCAACCTAGAGACTCAAAAGCGGCCAGTTTCCTGTACCAGCGCCTCAGTGTCGCGATTAGAGAGAAAATGCTTGTTGTATCCTGGACACATACCCAGCCTCCGCAGAGCTGGATGAAATCCTCGAACAGGATATATTTGTGTTTTCTGTAATCTGTAGCACAGTGTATTATAATAAGTAAAAATTAAATCATATTGTATAAAATAATATAAAAGTATTGTAATAAAGTAAAAGTATAAAAGGTGGCAGAAGACAACTCTCTTTATTCTCTTCTCTTAGGCTATGGCTCCCTACAATTGCACCAGAGATTGGACCGAGTACAGGCTCAAGCGTCTGCTTATGCTTCGGGAGACGAGTGCTGCTCCACTCTAAACAGGACCGTTACTCCTGCGAAAGTAACGGTCAGTGTATTCCAAATTATGGAAGTCGTTGCATATTTTTTTCTTTTCCTAGTTTTTTCCCAGGATTTATTCAATATAACTACTCGCCAGCTGTTAGTAAACTCGGCTGTTAATAGGGTTGCAAAGGAACGTCAGCTATGTAAAACTAGGGTTTACCACGGCAGCATCTGTGAACTGTGAGACAGCAGTGCAGAAAGTAGACGTTTCCAGGATGCTGTAGAGTATCTCCATATATGTCAAGGAAATATTTTGGGGGTTGGAGATGCAAGCTTCTGTTTTAATTTTTAACCTTCAAAACCTGTGTTACCTCTGTGGACGCTCAATTATGAGCTTTTTTCATAAATACTCTGTATCTTTCATATGCACTCTGTATCTGTATCATATCATTTTTCTATACACTCTGCGAGCTGAACACGATTACACGAATGAAACATTGTTCATTTTCTCTCCGAGACATATTCAGTTGCCCAACACCTTTTTGATAAAGAATTTGAGTTTTAATTAACTAAACAGTATCTAATAGCTTAGAATTGAAAGGAACTTTTCTCCTAATCCCCAGAATGTTCTGAGTAAAAATAATTCTAAATTATTCGATTAAATAATAATTTATACGTATATAAAACAAAACTAAATTTACCAGTATCTACAGAGCTCTTATATCATAATCATAAATACGCATACGTATAACTGCACGCAAACAGGCATTTGAGCGTCCTCGTCAGTATCCACGTTAGACAATAACGTGTTGACGGATGTATCACGTGTCTATCTCCCGATACACGAGCGGATGACGCTGCATTTCCTCGTAGCAATGAGAGCCACACCCTCAACATGACTGGCTTTGGTGAAGGAATGGCGGGTGGGGAAGGTCAGTGCGCTCACCCAAGGGCGAGGCTACCACGGGGGAATATGGTTTTAACATTACCTCAAGACGTTCCTTTGTTTCTTTGTCATTGTCAGGGTTAAGCAGTGGTTATAACGCTCACACTGACCGTGAGAGGAAAATTAGCGTCAATGAATATATAAAGTCGATGAAAAGGTTAAGATCTATTAATGAACTTGGACAATAATTGCTATTATTGTTATGGAAATAACATGGATGAATACTTGAATAAAGAAATCCTTGAGCGAATACTCAGTGATATATATAGATAAATTCAAAGATCAGTTTCTAGATAAATAGCTGAAATAAAGACATTTACATTTATCCAGCATACACACACACACACATGCACTGAACTACAGGCCAGTGTCCTTGACATGTATACGATGCAAGGTGATGGAGAAGATCGTGAAACAAAAACCTAGTAACACATCTGGAGAGAAGGGACTTCGTGACAAATCGACAACATGGATTCAGGGAGGGTAAATCTTGTCTGATTGGCTTAATAGAATTCTACGACGCGGTGACAAAAATTAAGCAAGAAAGAGAAGGCTGAACGGATTGCATTTTCGAGGATTGTCGGAAGGCCTTTGACACAGTACCGCATAAGAGGCTGGTACATAAGCTGGAGAGACAGGCAGGTGTAGCTGGTAAGGTGCTCCAGTGGATAAAGGAATACCTAAGCAATAGGAAGCATAGAGTTACGGTGAGGGGGGTGAGACCTCGAATTGGCGTGAAGTCACCAGTGGAGTCCAACAGGGCTCTGTACTCGGTCCTATCTTGTTTCTGATATATGTAAATGATCTCCCGGAGGGTATAGATTCATTTCTCTCAATGTTTGCTGACGAAGCCAAAATTATGAGATGGATTAAGACAGAGGAGGACAGCTTGAGGCTTCAAGAAGACCTAGACAAGCTGAAGGAATGGTCGAACAAATGGTTGTTAGAGTTTAACCCAAGCAAATGTAATGTAATGAAGATAGGCGTAGGGAGAAGGAGGCCAGATACTAGGTATCATCTGGGAGATGAAATTCTTCATGAGTCAGAGTGAGAAAAAGACTTGGGGGTTGACATCACGCCAGACCTGTCCCCTGCAGCCCATATCAAGAGGATAACATCAGCGGCATATGCCTGGCTGGCCAACATAAGAACGACATTCAGAAACTTGTGTAAGGAATCATTCAGAACTTTGTATACCACATGTCAGGCCAATCCTGGAGTATACAGCCCCAGCATGGAGTCC